GGCAGCAACTGGCCGAAGTTGCGAGTGATTTAGAGCCCATTCAGGCTCAAAAACAGTCGGTTTCCATGGACTTCTTTTTCACTCCATTTTTGGCATTCCCAGAGGCAAGAAGCTAAGTTCAGTATTACCGGGACAGTACCGTACCCCAAGGCCGCCGTCGAATAGAGTGTACTTTGCACAACTTGTGTACGCCGCACTCAACTGGACGCCCAAAGGCTGCGATCGATACATTGTTCGGCGGCTTATCATTTTTTTTTTTAAATTTCTTTCTTTTCTTTTCGCGGATTCTGCGTTTCTTTCAATAAATAGGTTAGCATTTTTCCATTCTTACGCAGCACGGTTGAGCGAGCTGGATCCTCTGCTAAAAACTTTGTTTCGCATTCTTTTTGTGATGTGAAAACATTGTCTTCTATTATTTGATTTAGTCATAATTTTTTATTCAGCCCAGAACATGCGAGCTGTTCACGCTGCGCGACCTGGCCCAGGAGCAAGGCTTCTAAGTAGGCCTCATCATCATATCCTAAGAGGCCACGTGGTTAATTTGATGCTTTCAGTGTCCTTACAGCAGCTGAGACTAATCCCTTCGGAGCAAAGCAGTTGTTGTAGACTAGTTTCTTCAATGTAAGATTTCACTTCCATTTGGTTAATTTATTGTTTGGTTTTATACTTGTATTATTCACAGTTATATTTCCCATTGCAGGGGCGCGAAGTGATGCGCTATTTCTGTCTACACCCTATGCGTTGTATGTTCGATGCCAAGTAAATTGTAATCGAGCTATTTGCATGTTACTTATGGTTCTATGTTATTACTGAGTAACTTCTTGATGCTACTGGTTTCTATTTGAGATAATGAATAAATTTCCTCGGTAATTCAGAGGACTGTCGTGATTTATGCTGCGGTACTCAATTGGCGGCTCCGAGGGCATTTCACCTTCAAGTTACTACAAGTGCAGCATCGCTGGGCAGGAGAATTGTCCGTCTTTATTGACTGTATTTGGGGGGGGGACCACGCTTCACGTTGCTCTTCTTCTCCATCTTTGTCAAAATAGTATACAGCATAACTACTTAGCTTCAGTGAGAGTTCGGTAACGGCAACTTTCTAATCAGATGTATGTATAGAGCATTGGAAATAAATTTTTCTCTAAACTATTCTAGTTCTGTAAGACATCACATAGTTTACGAATTCTAGTGTAAGAATACAAATGTGTAAAGCACGGGCGAATGTGCGTAGCTAAGTCGTCAGCTTGCATTTCGCCGTCTATCCTGCGACTTACCGCTGTTGGCCAAGTATCAAAGTGATAGTGGCTTGGACTTTCCCAGGGAGTGTCACTTTGGTTAGGCTGACCTCACTGGGGATCATAGGACGCGTTCATAGCTCGCGATAGTGATGGTGCGGAACTGGAAAACTAGTGGATACGTATTGATTAGATTTCTGCATTCCGTCACTTTCGCAAGCTATGAACGCGAAAACAAAATGCGAAACAAAGTTTGCAGACGATCCAGCTCGTTCAATTGTGCTGCGTAAGAAAGGAAGAAATGTTACCAGATTCATCAGAAAAACCGCACATCCACAGAAGAAAAGAAGTCTTACGAAATCCGAAAGATGATCGATCGCAGCCTTTAGGCGTCCAATTGGGTGCGGCGTACACAAGTTGTGCAAAGTACACTCTATTCGACGGCGGACTTGGGGTACGGTACTGTCCCGGTAATACTGAACTTAGCTTCTTGTGAAGTTGGGAATTCCACCTGAGCTATTTCATTGAGAGTATCAATATCGTCCGATCTGCCTCATTGAATGCTTGAAAAACTCTATGAAAAAAAAAGAGTTAATCAGGAATGGTGAAACGTGGCACTTATACTATAGATAAGGCGCAAAGAATTCTCTTTAGGATGTATACTGAGACGCAAGGGAGAATGAGTTTTTAATCAGCAATGAATGTACAAAAAATGGTAACACAAAACGCTGAGAACTTTCCGACCAAACCTAATAATTTGTTTCGTAAACATGTGAGTAAACCTAGCTACACACGTACATTCTCACGTAATCAGGACTTCAGGGAATGTTTTTCTGTTCCGCTCCATGCCAGCGTCAAGTCCCATATCTCGGGCATTCGATCGGGGAGGTGTTCAGTATTCATTATCGCAGTACAGGCTTCGCGAAAAATGGTGGTGGTATACACCAATTTTCGTACAGCGTCGATAAGGTTGATAAATTATTTCCATGACTCGGCCTTACATTGAGCTAATTTACAAACGACTTGAAATTGCAGTCATGTCGATTTCACGGATTCTTAAAGAGAGTTACCGACGACAATCCTAATGCACTAATAGGATTAATATGCCCTGCCAGACGAATGCCACCATGCAGGCGCTGCGTATGCCCTTTTTGAATGAAGGTATCTAAGCTCTATCAAGCTGTAGCATACTGCCCGGCGCCACGCTCCGCCCACCCACAAATGGGCGACGTAGCCTGGTGTTCGTCTGCTTTACATTCTGCGAATACAACACGAGCGAAGATATTGGTAATGAAACGGTTGGCGGGTGTTGGCATTGATTGAAATGTTTCCATATTGCCGTATCTACCGTTTATTGGCACGATGCCGACGAATCGGTCGTCCGAAATTGCTTTCTGAGTAGTGAAGAAAAAAAAGTTTTTTTTGCAGGTTCTTACCTGTTTTCACTTCCATTTTCCCCACTAGCAGCACCTTGCTATCGTTTTTAGCCGCGAGTACGCATAATAATCTGCTTTATATCACCTAATACCCTCTCGACGAGACCACGGAAGTTTGGGGAGACCTTTTGATGCTTTTTTTTATTCAAAGTTTGAGTTGTTGACGATCTTGCATTTTGTATTTAGGCCGCACAAATTACTCGAACGGAACTTGCTTTCAGTGCAAAATCTAACTTTCAATAGGGTTCAAGCAGATGGCCATCTCCCTCGACGCCTTCAGAGGAATGGTCATGTTCCATGCGAAAAAAGTCTTTTAATAGAATATACAATTTTGCTCAAAGGTCAGCTATACAGGAGCGACAGGTTTTTCATCGTACTTTTGATGGCCGACTCAGGAAGCCATGGCAAATCGAAAGAAAGAAAGAAAGAAAGAAAGAAAGAAAGAAAGAAAGAAAGAAAGAAAGAAAGAAAGAAAGAAAGAAAGAAAGAAAGAAAGAAAGAAAGAAAGAAAGAAAGAAAGAAAAAGAAAGAAAGAAAGAAAGAAAGAAAGAAAGAAAGAAAGAAAGAAAGAAAGAAAGAAAGAAAGAAAGAAAGAAAGAAAGAAAGAAAGAAAGAAAGAAAGAAAGAAAGAAAGAAAGAAAGAAAGAAAGAAAGAAAGAAAGAAAGAAAGAAAGAAAGAAAGAAAGAAAGAAAGAAAGAAAGAAAGAAAGAAAGAAAGAAAGAAAGAAAGAAAGAAAGAAAGAAAGAAAGAAAGAAAGAAAACAAAAAGAAAAGAAGCGTCACCAAAACGAATGTGTTCGCGCATACTAGAGAACCATTAAATTCTTAACGTAAAGGCATATTGGCGCAATTCGATAGTGGTCCAACAATAGCTGACAGGGTGCTATGTAATTGGGAAATGGGAAAGAGCGGAGTAAAAGGTTCACGAAACCCTCGAAGAGAAAGCTCCTTTTTCGCGCAGCCGTGACGAAAGTGGGAGGCGTCAAGAAGTATTTTGACAGTCACCCGTAGGTATCCTCCGATGGCCCACGGCACGGTAGGTACGACTGCGCGTTTGAATTTATTTGTATCAAACCGCGGCGTTCACATCAATCCTTTGCATTTTTTACTTCGAAATGAAGCAATACAGCCGTTCGGTGCAGTCGTCATTTGTGAAGCGCGCGGCGAGCTGGGGCGGCCTCGGTCGGTATCGATGCACCCAATTGAAGCCTTAACAAAACTACCTTCTTAGGAAAGCTAGAAGCCGTATAATCCTATTCGTCTTCAGGAATTGTCGTGGCAACTGCCTTTAAGCAGAACTTGTTTGACTTACTGTTCATGTCGTGGTTGAGTAGCAAGTAGTTGATGCCGGTAAGTCATTCCCAAACCACTTTGCAGCGAGAAGCTGAAACATATTTGGCATGAAATCACCCTGCTTCCTGTGCCGTCCCTAGCGCTCAGTTCGGAAGTGGTTACACATCAATCGCACAAAGACGTCAGCATTCTCATCTTCTCAATAGCGTACCAGTTATTCGGCAATCGGGTGTCGAAAGCTCTTAATGCCTTATTTCATAGACGTTAGAAACAAAGCGTTAATGCAGGATTTCTTTCACCCATCATTAGCATAAAAGGACCGTAAGGAGATGATGAAGCATAGTATTCACACGCATATTTGTCTTTCGACAGAACCCCGAAATTGTCTCTCTCCCCTGCTCGCTTCTTCCTAACGTGAAAAAGGAAAATTCTCCTGCCTGGATGTGAGCATTCCCATCACGGCAGTGAATGGGTAGGCTTACGCCCATTCCTCAAGACATTGATTTACCCTTTAACCCTGAAATAAAACTTTAGCTTTGGCAAAGGCGTCGGTTCCTGGTTCATCGCGCTCCATTGGTTAGCTCAGATCGCTACAAATTTTAAACTCGTACTTTTCGTCACTGCAGTATCAAGAGTCATCTGCATTCAACAGGGTCATATTCAAGGGATTTTTGACAATATCCCAATCTTGTAACTCCACATTGTCCCTTGTTGTAAGCTCGGCATGCTTTCAGATATCTGGCTACTTCTGCCAAACTGTCTGGGCTGTCAGATGAGAATTTTTTACCGGAATTATGAAGAGAGAAGTTGGACACTTTGCTGGCACTGTTTCAATCTTCTCATCTTATTCAGAAGGCATGGAAGTGGCTCGAAGTTTTTTCAACTACCCGATCAAACGCCTTCCCCATTCTGACGTTTGCTACGTCTTGTCGTGAACGCTTCTGAACAACCCGGTAGTAACTGCGGGCAGCTCACCAGAGTCTAGCTCTCACTGTGTAATTGTCAGTAAGGAAGAAGAAGACTCACTTGAGTCTCATCGCGTCGCGTAAGTCAAAATTGTCATAGTGCACGTCATCCTTACTGTAGCTCGCATTCTGATACAAACGGCAGGAATTCATTTGTAATCGACAGACACTCGTTTCGGCTTGTTCATCCTTGGTTTTCTCGCAAAAATCCAAGAATGACGCTAGAACTTTCCTGAATGAGATTTCTGACTCGTAAGCCAGCAGTGCATTTAACATCATAATCGCTCTCGCTATGCTCCTCAATGTTATGCTTGCCGAGAAAAGTAGTCGTCATATTACGCCTTTTGGCACTATTTACCCTTTACTGCCCCAACCATCCAGAATTGAGCCAGTTTCTGACCGACTTTTTCTCCGTGGACAGATTTGGCTCAAATGTTGTCTCCTGGGGTATTTTGACCTCCTGAATACGAATATGACATTCGCTTAGCCGAAACCTTCCTGGCGCCCGCGCCACAGGCGCCGGTGATTTGGGACATTTTGCGCCAGCGCCTGTAGCGCCAGGAGGTTTCAGGCGAGCAGATGTGATATTCGTGTTCAGAGGTCAGACTACCCCTGAGAACAAGTTTTCAGCGAATTTGGTGATTTAAGGTATTTTGGCGCCGGCGCCTGTGGCGCGGGCGCCAGGAGGTTTCGTGCCTAGCGGATGTGATATTCATGTTCAGGAGGTCAAACTACCCCAGGGAACAAATTTTCAGCCAATTCTGCCAACGCAGAAAAAGTCGGTCAAAAACTGGCCTGTTTTTGGAAGATTGGGGCAGTAAAGGGTAAATAGTGCCTGCCTTTTCCCAGCTTGATGCTCCCTGATGCGAGAAGCTCAATACCTTCCTGTTGGCCCGATGTACTTTACCTGCTGTTACAAGCAGTCAAGTTGATAAATTACTCCACCCTTTTCACAATCTCCTAACCTTCCATACGTGCAAACAACGCAGCCTGGTGAGGCGCACTGCCTGCCGGTCTATTGCGAACAAGTTGGCGTTTTTGGGAATATTCACCGAAACAACATCTTCCTGCAACTGTGCTCTCACAATACTGCGACGTATTTCAGTGCTGATGTCATCGGAAATAAAAGGAAGGCATAAGGGGGTAGCTTCTCCCTGGCGTGATACATGTCGTAGGCCAGCACTCGATGCCTGCAATGTGCTCGTACCCATAACCATACTTCCTAGCTATTTTCAAAGCTAGAGCTCTTGACTCTAGTCGTTTTTTGTCGCCTGTACACATCGTGGTTGCTGTTGTGATCATGTTCCTGATGACTGCACGTTTCACTGCAGCAGGATGTGAAGACGTTGCGTGAATCAGGATATTTTTACAACTAGGTTTGTGGTACCTTTCTTACTTTTTCTCAGTTATTCCACGGTCTAATTTGTAGCATCACGACGAATTCTCCACCTTCGTCGCTACTACTGTAAACTTCACATTCGATTCGGCTACCGGTCCGGGTTCTTATGGACAGTACGGGGTATGGGGGAAGTCATTATACCGTGGGATAAATGAAGTCCATCTGCAGCGCTAACACCGCACCCAGCCGTGATATTATGACCACTCTCCTTGACAAGCATAAGAGGAGCATAACGGCAACGTTTTCGATGTTAAGTGTACTACACTGGCGTACATTACAAAAACCTCATTTAGGAAAGTTTTAGAGTCGTTTTGAACTTTTGCGAAAAAACCAAGAACGAACAGCCGAGACAAATGTCTGTCAATTACAAATGAATTCCTGCCGTTTGTATCAGAATGCGAGCTACAGTAAGGACGACGTGCACTATGACAATTTTGACTTATGTGACACGATGAGACTCAAATGAGACTCATTCTTCCTCACTTTCACATAGGGAAACCTAGACTGCCGGCTCGCAATTGCTATCAGGTTGTTCACAACACGAACATGAAAATGCGACACGCAAAAGAAAACGCTAGAGTTTCTTCTGCTGCGAGTAATTGCTTGAATTTTAGCAACACCAATATTACTGTTGGGACCCAGTAAAACTTTAGCGAACTCGGCTTTTGAAGTTTCTAAGTGAAACTTTCCTTGAATAAGAGGATGACTTCGATTATAGCATTAACTCTCATCATGGTGTATATCTGCATTCATTAGAATGTTATCAGGAAGATCACTTACGGTTATGGATTCTACCACAGCGATCATTATTCCTCTTGTCTTCCAATTTCCTGGAAACTGCGTGCCACTTACGAAATTTCAAATAATTTGCCTTCAGATAATGAAGTTGTTGTTCCTGCTGCTTTGCGTTGAGGTCGCTATAGCTCTATACTGTCTCGAAGGGAACAACAAATACTTGGCATGAAGAGAGATGGGTAAGAGTTGTTCCCTAATTTAGTGATGATTCCCAAATCGAAGTGGTGATGAGAGATGGATTACGAGACGTGATTAAATCTCCCCCCCCCCCCAAATCTGCAGAACGATTCTCTGAACGGAGTCATGAAGGCCCGTTTGAACGAAGAGAGACACAAGTCAAGCGCGATCGCTGTGCATGAGTAACCGCGAAGCAAATGCACTAGCAGCTTAGTTCATAGGCACGAACTAAAGACTCGGGTTTGAGGGTAACAAGTACCTGTGTTCTACGAAGAATGTCTCTTTCGATTCTGGAAAACACTTTCAACTGTTGATGTGGTTGCAGTTCGGGAACTCAAATGGTGTAGTGAGAAGTCCCGATGATATCACAGTGACCTGCGGTGAACAGCAGTACCAAAATTATTTATTGGAATAACAACAACCAGAACGGATGAATGAAGAGATGAAGAGTTAGGAAATAATCGCAGTTGAGCTCTGGAGACGAGTCGACGAAGTCCTCGATTGTTCGGCCCTTGGTGGGCTGGCGCTGGAAATGGAAAGGCCCTCTGGAGTTCGGTTCCCTTTTATAGGGTCCTTCTGACCCTTTTGACCAAGTGACCTCAAGTGACCTCCTCGGGATTGCAAGGCCTCGGCCTGCGATCCCCTGATCTTTAGAATGGTGAACTGGGTGATACTCCTGAAGTTGTCAATTCTTAGCAAATTTCCGCGCCCAAAGTGAATAAATCTGTGAAAGCGCTGACAGCGAACAACAAAGAAATAGCAAGCATTTTCCTACAGATTCGGGCGCCTGCGCCCTACGAGTAATTATTTGCGGAAAGATGCCCGTAGCGCACGCCGCAGGCGTTTTTGTGCCTGTCTGGTGTCACATTCGTGTTCAGGGAACGAAAGTAACCCTGGGAACAGATGTATAGTCAACTGTAAGATCTGACCTAACCTTGGGAAATGAGGCAGCAACTGGTGGAGTGATGGTCATCCGTGGTTCTAGGGCGGCCTGTCATCGATGCTATGTCTTCTGATGGAATTTGCTTCTAATTGTCAGAAAGAATGAAAGGTAACAGAATGAATGGGCCTGAAATGGCAAGGCTTTGACCAGATCATATCTGTAGCTGAATAGGTGGGAACATGAATTGAACTGCACCCAATTGATGCTTACTTTGGGTGCTGCTGCTTCATGTTCTGCTTTTCGAAGTCAGGTGGAAATGCTAGATTTGGATAGAAACTTGTACTTCGGGCTGTTTGATCCGCTCAACACGAACATGGGGCGAAAACGCCTGTATGGTGCGACACGGGCACCTGCGCACCCAGATCTTCTTCTAGATCACGGTGCGCAAAGTGCAGTGATAACTGCACGCGAACTTCTTTTCAAGCACGTTTAGGTGGGTAGTGGTGTGGTGGTGACGGCAAACCACTCTCGCCTTGCTCCTGCTGGAAGCGAAAAATTTGCAGGGATCCGATCCCACAACCTACTGATTGTAAATCGTTAGGGAAAGGCTTCATAACTCCGTTCAGTGGATTGTTTTGCTGTTTCAAAGGTGGATTCAAGATCAGCTTCGAGAAGCGCGTCTGATAAATGAGCTATCCTTACAAAAAGCCGCTTCGGCCTACGGACCATCTACTGTAGTCTGTTTCTCCCTTTTCGGAGGGAATAGGCACCAAAATTACCTCAGAATTCCTTCGTTAACTTTGTGAGATCCACCCAGAGGAAAGGAAACCAGTATCTCAGAATACGCTCAGAGGCATTTTGATTTCGGCTGCAGAAGCATTCGAGAAATTAGCCCGTACAAGACATTTGTTTTGAATTTTATCTCTGTTTCTTCAAGGTTCACATGAAGATACCTTTTTCAGCTTTTCTTGATGTCGGTTTGCTGGTTTAGATCACACCTGTACTAAAGTGAGAGGGTCGTTGGAGACTATAAAAATGAACAACAAGTGCCAATCGCTCACTTCTTTTTCTGATTATGCTCATTTAGATAGTTATTTTCAGGTTCAAGGGCGATTTGTAAAGAAATGCACGGTCAACTTCAACGGGTACACCGTATCAATTGTTGCATGCGTCACACCGAGAGGCGTGGAGGTACGCGATTTCATCAAAGTTATGACCCAGGGCACATCGTTGTTGAGGAATCCCCAATAGGGAGGGGTCGCCGCCAGGAGGGGGGTCGTATTTGGGCTGGGAAAGATTTATTTTGATAGATGATTTGGCACTATAAACTATTAGTACCCCAAAAAGTCAAAAATGCTTTGGTGAACTTTGCCCACCGAGGTAATTCGGTGTCCTGATCACGATGTAGCACTCGTTTTCGGCGCTGGCGCCAAATTAGGCGCCATTGACGCCAGTTTGGCGCCGCCACCTTTCTCACCAAATTCGGTAATATGCATAGTAGGGTTATTTGACGTCCTGATAACGAATACCG